AAAATCCCATCCCCACTCCCCTCCCCCTTCCAAAACCGAATGGTGCCCAGGAAAGAGTAGGGTTAAAACAGGAATGAGCAATAACGCTAGTTTCCCGAATATGTTTCAGTTTCTTTCTTTGAATAATACTTACTTTTTTTGCATCGACAATAGCTCGCTCTTTTCGTTTACCTTACTATTCAAGAAAAATAGTTCAATCCAATCAAGAGAAACTTACTTCTTCAAAGCATTCAAACTTGCTTCGTTCAATAAGTATTCCGTAAGAGGTGAGACACGTGCAAGACATTGTATAGCCGCATTACGGTAGCAAAAGTTGCCAGAATTCACAAGACCCACGGCACCAGGACGACCTCAAACATGCAACGTTTACAACAGGTGACTAAACGGAAAATCACGCCCTGGAAGAGCAAAAGCTATTTTTCATAGGAATCCATGTAAGTTTATTTTAATCTAAAGGGCTGTAAAATTGAACTTCCAAAACTCCAGAATAAAGGATCACCAGATTGCTAAAATTCGAACGTTTCAATATACCAATCAGCTTTACATCAAAGGGCAACTGAGCACATGCTAACTCCACAGTGTCGTATTTCGCTAATGCTATGCCTGAAATATTTAAAAGAACTACAACAAAGTCATACCTGTGGTACACGCCAACGACGATATCTGTGTTCCAGTTAACGAAGCACGCAACTCTTCAGGCCAAACACCGTTTGCATCTCTCAGTTCTAGCAGGAACTAAAGTAGCAGTTACAATTGTCAATTGGGGTTAACGACTGATCGTAGATCCCTACAGAATCCGTTTTAGCCTCAAGTTCTCACACTGCTCTCGATAGAAAGGAGTTCTCATCGCTTCCTTGCACTGTTTGCCTGACACCTGCTTTCTCGATCATCGGTGTGCCTTTTTCTCGTTAATTTTTACAGGAAGGTCGTTTGCGTACCTTTCTCCAGGACAGGGCCCTCACCAATTGGTGGGCATGCCCACATCAATCCACTTTATAAAACAGAAGCGAAAACGGCCGACTTCTGTGAAGTTCGGACAAAAGGTAACAACCGTGCTATCAAAACACTATCAACGAAGAAATATTCCGACACTCAAAAAGCCTAAGTCTGTAAGATAAGCCATCTATGGCGCAGCGGATACCCACTGGATCGATTGCAACAGGCCACTGTCTTTCGCAGCTTTGCGATGAAATCGTTCAATCTACCTTTCAGCGCAAGTTGTATAGGGAACGGACTCGCGGTTTAAAACATATCTGCCATGACTAGCAACAGCAAGAAGGCTACAGCCCCGTAAAGAATCTGATGACGTAAATTACCTTATTCACCCGTTTTCCCTTCACACTTAGCTGATGAAGCGTCCGCTTTCCGTCATCAAGCAATGTATTTCCTTCATCGCCAACAAGCCACAACCTGCATGAACTCATATTTGTACTGGACTCAAGAAATTAGTTAGATCTTTTCACCTTGCATCTCCGTCGCCAAGCCTCAGCTCGCTTCTACACAACTGCAAGAGCTCGTCCACAGTACAACTTCGAGAAACCTTGAATTATCAAAATTGTTTGCGGAAAAGTTAAACAAGCATTGACGACAGCGTGAGACACATTGAATGCACGCGTTGTAGGCCATGTGGGACAGCGTGCATACTATACAACTCACGATCAACAAATCCATATCTTTCAACAGTGCATGGTTTTTTAGTTAGTTTCTCTTAATCATTGTATAGTTCAGACCCTGGTGTACTCGTACTATGCGTAGTCCATGGAATAATTCAGTACACACTAGTTTAGCAAATACTTTTTGGGTAAAGATCACCATTTGCTCGGACTGATTTGCTCTTCAACACTGGAATGGTTTGCTCTCCAACACTTAGCTGAGAAATGCTGATCGATACAATGTTGATAATGGTCAAAAATTATAGGGTGAAGGATTCTGAACGCTATAGAGGGCACGACACCTTTTTTTTATGAAAACATTGCGACGAAATTTCTGGCATCTAGTGCAACGAGAGTTAGCCAGCCAGGTTTTTTCTATACTGAAGTATTAACTTACTTCATAACTGCGCTCTAATCCAGTTTTCCGATCCAATTTCCAAAAAAGCGCCTCGTGGGATCGTCTGAACTATGTGTGTACCGCGCTGGTTGCGTTCGAGAAAACGCGCGTGTCCCACGCGGCCAAAAAGTAAAAACGCGCATGTCGTCAACGTGTTAATGCAACACACTGAAGAGTTACAGCGAGGAAATCGCGACGGTGAACACTAAAAACAACTTGTGTTACCTGCGCGCACGCCCATGGCGATGTCTGCTGTATGCCATCAACGTCCTTCAGTTTCTTCTTGTCATGTCCCAATAATAGAATATCCATAGGATACAGCTCTAACGCCTCTTTTCCATCCGGGAAGAATTCGCCGCTGAGCCTTTTACGAGTGAATTGACCGTCCACCTTGAAAAAGAGTTAATTCTTCGAGAGCTGGGAGGTCATCCCACTTTGCAATGTTATCCTAGCTTCCGAACTAACCCCCTCTTTATTGGCCAAGATTTTCGCTCCCTTTCAGGAAAAACCCTATTCTAAGACGTATTCTCAACATTCTTTGAAGTCAGTGTTTTGATAAGCCGAGCTGATAATGGTGGCAGCAGAGAAATAATACGTTAGCAAACATTCAGAGCACGATCATTTTCCTTGGTCATCTGTCTCTACTCAGATCAATATCCTGTCTCATGCCCCCAAAAACTCCTAAGCTCCTAATTCTATGAGAATTGAAATGGAGCATATGAAGAGGAGAACCTACCGATTGCGCGCTTCCATGCCAGCGAAGCCATGCTCGCCAGAGTGCTGAAGGCACTGCGATGTAGTCTTTCGGGGTCAAATCTGCACGAAGATTCGCCGATTCCAGCGATAAGCAAGCAACCTCAAAAACTTCAGCATTACTCTAGTCAAAACAAGAAGTCTTAAACATTTCAGGCATTCCCCTCAAAACCAGAAAAGCCTGGTTTCGAAAAGAAAATTAAAGTAAGAGCAAAATATCCGTGGAAGTGGTAGTACCATGCAGAATTATTTATTTATTATTCACCAGGATTATTCATACCTTTCCGCTCCATCCGTCGTCCGCTTTTGTGCCTTTGATAGAAGAATTATCAACAGGTGGTGGTGTTTTGCCCTCCGCCGCCGCTTTTGCCCATTCAGCGTGCCAAACAGAAGAGACGATATTCCATTCAGCCAGAGGTAAATCCTTTGAGCGCTGTTCGAAAGAACTGAAATCAAAGATCAGATGAGAAGGGAACTCCTCCTTTCTGCTCGCCCCTCTCAAGACGTACAAGAGGTAAAACATGAGTGTTACTTAGAACTGAAAAAGAAATGAAATCATCTCCACATTCTTCCCCCTCCCTTGGTCTCTTTTCCTGCTAATCGACTTTAAATGCGACATAAGATAAGGTAAGAATTACTAAGGTCTACTTACTTGACAAGTGCTAATCCTACAAGATGTGATTCTGGGCGCAAACCGAGGCAGATATGACCAATTTCCATTGCCATTGCATAGTGCTCTTTAGCGTACTCGTTTTCATTCGCCCACGTAGCAAAATCAACCGTTGCAGCTTTATCCCCAGCGCTTTTCACTACCGTTCGATCTTTCGAGGGCTGGAAAAATCATACATTCGATTTTCATAGAAAAACAAGGCCATCAAATATTTGAAAATAATAAAAGCTGTGAGCCTGGACTTGTTATGAAATTTTGATTATCAGTGGTGCACGCTTTCGCTCTGCTCTGGAAGTGTGAGTTCGAGAACAGTTTGGATATTTCAAATCTTACCACTTGTAAATCCTCGTACATCTGTTCCAATTCGGCATCAGAAAGCTTGGCATCGCAGTCTTCATCCCACAATTTTGCCAGGACTGCAAAAATTGCATTCAGAAGAACAAAAAAACTGTACGACTCAATGGCGATATCAGTAGAGAAAGCGACTGCGGCGAAGTTTCTTACAAGAAAGTCGACTGGGAAATGGTCCACGACACATTGCTGACAGGCCGCACACTAATTCACGGAAATCTATCTGATTGTCTCCATTCTCGTCGAAAACACGGAATAACCTTGAAAATTATCTATATGTATACGACCAATACTCGTAGACGCTGAGCGGTCAACTGTGAACAAACTTACTGGTTGGCAAACTTCTTTGGAAAACAGTTGCATAGCGCCGCGTCCCATCGGTCCTTGGATAGTTTACAAACGGATCGATCACTAATTGTGGCAAAGACTTTCTCTAACTCCATAACTTCTTCAACGGACACTATAAAAAGGAATCTGTGGTGCAGTATATCTAGCTCGAAACTAGGGAATATCTCAGCATTGTATACTCAAAAAGCAAAAGAGCAAAACGCAGTGTCCCACTCGAGACTACAACGTTATTCGACAAACCTCGCTAGCTGCCAAAGTATAACTTTACGAGATTCTTAGTTAATATCGCTGGCGAACCATGAGACAGAGATCTTTGGAGCTGTTCACACTCTGCGATAGCCGTTTGGCTAGTGTCAACGCCTTAAGCGTTTCGAACGACAAGGAAAATATCTGTACCAATCCAGAGTTCTGAGTCTCTGCCAGCGCTTTCAGCTAAGATGGATACCAGTACTTTCCCAGTCGCTCAAAACGCTGGCCAAAGTGTGAACACAGCCTTACTTTTTTACTATCTGCTATTTGTTATCGCGCAGCGACAACAACAGTTACCGCGAAACAACAATCGAGAGAGGATGCTAATGGCCCAAAAAGCCGAACTGAAGGCAGAAAACATTGCAAGGATGAGATAAAAGGATACTTACAATGTGTGACATACGACATCACCTCGTAAAACGATATGTACGAATCACTCATCGGTATGGTAAGCAGCGGAGGTCTCAAACCCCATGATGCAAACTCCTTACATTCTTCAATGAAATCTGTAAAAAACACTTTTGACTGGATAGACAGGGCTATATCAGAGGCATTTTGGCATTCTTCCAGTGCAACACTTGGCACGGACAGGCGGATATTTTTGACAACAAGAAACTTCTAGTGAATATGGGCTTACGATCTACCATGAAAAAGTGAGTGGGTGTCCAAGCGGCGAAGCACCTGTCGTCTCATGATGGATATCAATAAATCAGTGTTTCATGCGCTTGGTTATGAAAGTAAAATTGAAAAGAAGATCGGAGACGACGAAGATCACGTCGAAACGCTCCAGCCGTGACAGTATGGAGGATTGAAAAAAGAGGGCGATTCGGAATTCATTTGACATGTCATATATTGGAACTTGTAACCACTTACGCTCTTGAACATGCTCTATACGACAGAGACCAACGAGGGCTGTTAATAAGTTCTCGAAAGATAAGGTGTCAGCATTCCTTGAACAAAACTTGAATAGTTCCTTCTGCTTGTCCTCTGGAATGGGAGCTCCACCGAGTACGTGATAACAGAATTCCTAGAAGAGGAGAGTCGATCAAAAACTAGACATTATAGAAGATATCGTAGAGAATATTGTGAAGGGATATGCAGTAAATCTGGTAGAAGGAAAAAACGTTACATCAAAAGTGATGAATGGCTTCTTGAAACCAGCAAAAGCTGCATGGAGCCTCCTGTACTCCTCGTCGGAAACTGAAATATATCGTAGTGGAAACAACAGATCGCTACTATAATGAACGATTAGAGGGTATATAAGCTGCTAACAACGAGTGGGGAATCTCAGATCTAGCAGGACAGCAGGACATTTTCACAGGTTCTACAGTAAGGAAGAGTGCAGGCCGTGTATGTTGACCTAATTCATGAGAAATAGACTCCTCTTATCTGTATGTTGAACAATACTCTTAATTGTAGGAGCCCTTTGGGGGACCAGATTTCTTAAACTTCGCTGAGAAATCCACCACATATGGATAGATTACACTGCTTACAGCCTTCCTATGTTTGTAAAATAGTAGGGGCTCCCTCATTATCTGCTTATTATGATAGTAGCTTTGATTTCTATGAAAATGGAGAAAATGATAGTTGTCGATTTCTCCAGCTTCAACTTAAAGCGCTTCTTTGGGATAAATAGGTAATGCTCCTTGCTTTAACGAATAAGCTTTCAACTAGAGACGCAAAGTAAAGCTAGCTGGAACAGATCAGGAAATACCACTCACTGTGAGCTCTTGCATCCTCAACACTGATAATCGGACCGTTTGTCGATGTTCCAAGTGAATTACCCATTTTTCTCAAGTGGAAACGACGAACATTGCCCTGAAGGGTTCAAAAGTTCATGTGAAACATATGACTAAAGTTATATAGAACCACATCGAACAATTCAGCCAAATTCCACGGAACATTAAGATGCAGAACACATTGGTTTCGGCCAGAACAGTGAAAAGCAAGTGATTTCGTTTTTCTATGCTTGATGGTATAGCCCGGAATTCAACGTAGCGTTGGGCTTCCGCTCGTCTGGTATTAAACTTTCTCTGCATTTACACTGCAGGCACAGGTTGCACGCGCATTTACCGAATTTCCTTCAATGTTCATTGAAGCGTGCTCTTGTTTGGAGCCTCACTG